GCTGGTCGGGGCTGACGAACTTTGACAGCTCCTGCTTCCAGTTGTCTATGTGGGAACAAGAGGGGGCCTCCAAGGGGCTCAGGGAGATCAATAGAGAGCCCAGGAAGGAGACATAGTATGTCCCTGGCTGTACCCTGGGCATCTACTCCTAAGAGTATCCAAGAGCTTATGTGGTTTCCAGGCCATTGGTCTAGGAGTCAAAGCCTTGCTTTTGTATACAGAAGCTGACTGGGTCACCCAGGGTCAGTGACTGAGTCAAGATGAGCCAGACAGAAATGGGGCCTTCAGCATTGACCTCTGCAGATGCAAAGAGGGTCTCTCCAGGAGACCAAGTCACTCACCTCCCAAAATCACTATCTTCTTGCGTGTCTCCTCACTCATGAACGATTTAACCAAGTTGAAGGCCACTGGGAAAAGTCTGGGGGCTGAAACACATAAAACTCCCTCAAGAAGCTGGACCAGAGAAGACACTGGTATATAAAGCCATGCCCAGGGGCATGTGCTAGACAAGATTTGGACAGATCTGGATTCTGCCACTCCCTGCTGTGTGACCTTCAGCTAATAACTCACCTTCTCTGAGTCTTAGTGCTGTGAAATCATGTTATGGGTAACACTTGGCACAGTAGCTGCCTCTCAATAAATGGCTGTATCCCCTATCCCAGTTGTAAGGGGTTGGGTCCAGTGTCAAAATTGACCCCAGTGGTGCCTCTGTGTACTTGTGATTTTTTTCAGGTGGCTTTGGGATCCTCTTTAGTACAAGTAGATAGGGCATCTGCTTTAGACTTCCTGTCTCATCCCAACTTGGTCCCTCTCACTGAGTACTTTCTGTGAATTGGGCTCTGTGCTGTCTTCTCCATAGAGTGTCTCATACCAGCTTTCTTTCATTGCCTCCTCATCCCACAGAATGAGAAAACTGAGTCTCAATGGTGTGAAACAGACTTAACTCAAAGTCACAGAACTAGTTAGATTCAACCCAGATCATCTGATTGCAGGCACCCATGGCGACCCCCTCCCTGTAGGACCATTGAACACAGGGATCATTCCTGCTCAAAGAGTGTTCATTAGTCAGCATGGTCCATGGACTGTTACCAATCTAGAATGAAGTAAGTAAGGAAAATAACAGCAAACACGGAGAAACTTAGAACTTATTCGACATTGCTGCAATATACCAGTGTAGGATTCTGCATGTTACAAAAGTATCAGTCTGCCCTACTGAAAGGCCTGGAACTCAGAACCCAAACAAACAAAAGAACCAGTTCTTCACAAAGGATGGTTTGAGAAGCCCTAAACTCAAAGGCTGACCTACTGTCCCTCTTACCCCGTTCCCCACTTCTCCCTCCCCAGAACCCATCCCAGACATGGGCTCACCTCGAACAACAATTAAATTCTTCATTGTCTCAGGATAATTTGCTTCCACCATGGCAAAAAACTGTGAAGTCAAGATGAGGCTGGTCACGGCTTTACCCCTCCATTTCTGTGGCCTCTGACACTGCTGAGACAAGAAGCCCACCCCTGGCCCCTCCTGACTTCCCCAGGAGTGTATGTTCCCTCCTCTGTGTTATTCTAACTCCTGTCTCCCCTTGGAGGGTGGACTCCAGGTGAGCATGGCTGGCTGGTCTGTGGCGCCCCTGGAAGGCATCTCCACTTTCCCACAGACCAGAAGCTAGTGTGGACTGCAGCTCCCTATTAGCCTGGGAGCCACCGCCACTCCAGCCTCTGGCAGCACCTGCCTTACCTGCTGGTAGACCTCCACTGCCGGCTTCCACAGATGTTTCAAGCCCAGTCCCTCCATGTCAAACACCAACAGCACCATCTCAATCTTCCTACCCAGCTGCATAGATCAGAACAGTTATACTGGTCAGACCATAGCTCCTGGAGAGCCTGGCCAGAGAGTTTCAGGCACTTCTCCTGACCTCCCTGCCGCCCACACCCTTGGCATTTTACAAACATCTGTAGTTTCATGACTGTATTCAATCCAGAGCTATGCTTTTGGCAGGCGGTGTGGCCCTGGGTGGATTTTTTTTAGTTGTAGTGGGACACAATACCTTTAATTAATTAATTAATTAATTAATTAATTAATTTGTGGTGCTGGGGATTGAACCCAGGGCCTTTTGCATGGGAGGCAAGCACTCTCTCTACCAACTGAGCTACATCTCCAGCCCCAATACCTTTATTTTATTCATTTATTTGTATGTGGTGCTGAGGATCAAAACCAGCACCTCGCACGTGTTACGAGAGCGCTCTACCACTGAGCCACAACCCCAGCCCTCTGGGTGGATTTTTAACCACTCTGATTTTTAACCACTAGCTCTCTTTCTTTGTGAAATGGAGATAATTCTAGGTTCTGCTAGAATTGCTATGAAAATTCAGTAAAATGATGCAGAAAGAACTCAGAGGCTGGCATTTGTTTATAGTATCATCATCATCATAATTATCGACTTCAATTGGGAGCCTCTATGGTCATGATGACGACACAGGACTTGCCCTTGTCATGTGGAGTCAGTCATTTGCCAAATCAGGCCACAGTGACATATCAGCTCCACCAGAGGAGACTTCTTAGCCTCATTACTTATGTAAACACACAAAACCAACTAGGCCACATATGGCATTAGATTCAACCTAAAGGATACAGAGGATCAAAGAGCAGCTCAAGGCAAGGAGAAGAGACCTGCAAAGGAGGATGTGGAAGCCTTCTTGAATCAGAAGCTTCATGCCCCATAAAGCTCAATATCTGTGTTTCAGCAACTCCCGAATAGCTTCAAAGGCCCCTCAGGGGATGCACCTAGTTTCAGGGCTACTGTTATCAGGGACGCTCACCCAATGGTGTTTGTTGTTATAAAATTTGTAATGGTGGGATATTGTTTCCATAAGCCAAGCTGAGTATCCACTGTTCTCAGAATTCCCAGAAGAACAGAGCTAGATCTTTATCTGCACCCAGATCAGCGTCTCATGTAGAGGCTTTGGTGACCCTAGACTGATGCAAGTAAAGTATGATGTACACCTTGGATACTCACGGAGGGGGACAGCAGGAAGAGCTCATGTTTCACCAGACCTCTAAGTATGAGGGGTAGGGGGACAGGGTGTCATCCTTCCCTGGACCTGGGGCCCCAAACTGGACAGACTAGGTCCCCATGTGCCCCACCCCCACTCCCCAGTTGCTCACCTTTTGACTCTGCAGCTCACACTCCTGCAGAAGCAACTCAAAGGCCTTGATGCGTTTCCGGATCAGCTCCTGCTTGGAGGCTGACAGGAGAAGACCCTTGGGGTCGAGGGTCCCAATGATGTCAAACCACACAGGACAGCCTTCATAATCGTAGCCACACAGACCGCCCGAGTCATACCGCTGGATCACCTGGACACATGGGTAAGGCCCTGACTCAAACTAGCCCACTAGACCATGTCCCTGCTCCCTCAGGTGGTTGTGAGTTGGTGGACAGAGGGACATCAGATGGCCTAGGAGATGCTGCATGGGGCTCACCTCTGAGGGCTGCCATGAAAGGATATTGTCCAAGTCCTGTTGCTTCCGGAACTCCATGTGCTGCAGAGACATGAAAAGGCTTGCCCCCAAAGGCCTCTGCAGGCACCTAGGGACACCAGACCAGGTCTCTTTGCCCACAGCCACCAATGTCCTGTCAGAGCATCTGCAGGCTCCACTACACAGAACTAGGAATAGGGACAGGAGGAGGGCTTGAAGGGGAGGGACCCAGGTCTGATGTAGACAGGAAGCTGAGGACGAAGACATTTGAGAATGGGCACACTTTCTCACTGACTACTCGGGGAACAGCCTGCAGGAAACAGGACCCTAGGGATGATGGGTCCTCACCTTCCGGAGCATGTCCTCTGACTTCTGCAGGTCGAAGTTCCGAGCTGAAAGAAGAATGAGGGAAGAGGCGCTGGAGGCCAGATGGAGAATAAGCCGCTTTCTGAAAGCTCGTGAGGACATGATGGGGGTGTTCCCAACCTTTTCCTGACACTCCAAGAATACTCTGGGGTCTGGAAATGTTTTCTTTTCTTTTCCTTTTTTTTTTTTTTTTTTCCTTAAGCAAGGATCTTTACTCCTCTGGAAGACACTGGAGGGCCCTTGATTTCTGTTTCCAGGCCTTTGAAAACTTTGAAATCTAGAAGTCAATCTAGCCTGCAATAGTTGGCATCCTCCAAGGAGCTGAGACCCACAGTGTTAAGGTGCTAAGAAGCATGGGATTTGCAATCAGACAGACTTGGGCTTGAATTCTAGTTTTGTCTTTTTTGTTTCCTATGCAACCTGGAACAAGCCATTTACCTTCTCTGAGCTTTATTTTAAAAATATGTTAAATAGGAATAATAATTTGTTTAGTAATTCAAAAGAAAGTGTGAGATAAAGTAGATAAAGTGCTTGGCATAATACCTAGCTCACAGGAGGTTCTCACTTTTTTTGTGTGTGCTAGGGATTGAACCCAGGTGCTCATACATACAAGGCAAGCACTCTACCACTGAGCTATGTTCCCAGTCCACAGTTAAATTCTCAATAAAGAGTAGCTATTGTTGTGATTACTTATTTTGAAGAAATTGTTATATTTTAATAAAAAATGTTATGCTCGATTTGATTTAATTAATTTTTGGAGACAAGCTATGTTACCCAGATTGACCCTGAACTCCTGGGCTCAGCATCCCAAGTGTCTAGGGCCACAGGTACATGCCACCACACCCAACTATGTTCTATTTTAGAAATGCCATGACCATTGCTCTCTAAGACCACTGTCTCACTGTTGAATTTGTTCATTGATGGAGCTGCTCTGAGATGCAAGATTAAAGATTTTCAAGTGGAAAGGGCCTGATATCACCCAGAATTCCTCTGCCCTAATCATGAACCACCTCCAGTAATAACCATTGAGGCCACTAGCTCAATTCTGATTATCTCCCATAATGTACCGTTCATTGCCTAAACAAATAGCCCACAGCTCTTTTTAAGTACTGGAGATTGAAGCCAGAGGCACTTTACCACTGAGTGTGCCCTAGCTCTCTTCTTTTAATTAATTCATTTATTTATTGAGATAAGGGCTCACTAAGTTGCTGAGTGTGGCCTTGAACTTTCATCCTCCTGTCTCAGCCTCCCAAATTGCTGAGATTACAGGCTGTTGCCACTGCTTCTGGCTCCTCAGCAGCTTTGACTGAGGCTAAATCTGCCACACAAATGATCCTAGTCCCATTTTCAGAGGTCATATATATGTTTGTCAATGGAAATCTGTGCAAATATATCAAGAGGAGCTATCAAGTGTAAATGTTTTTTTTACACTTGTAAAAAATATTTTCTCCCAGTTATATATTTATTTTAAAATCACCTCTGTGTCAGTGATGTTCAACAGAACTTTCTATAATGATGGGAAACGTCCTATCTTTGGTTAGTATGACAGAAGATCTCAAGTTTTAATTTGGCTTAATTTAAATTTTAATAATTATATGTGCTTAGAGGCTACTGAACTGAACAGAGCAGTTATATATACTTCAATGATTTTAAGATTTTTTTCATATATAGATCTTCTGTGCTCCAGGTTAAATGTCTAGTTATTTTATAAGCTTTGTTGTTACTTGGAATAATATACATTTTTTCATGATATTTTACAATTGGTTGCAGCCACAGAAAAAAATACTATTGAATTTTGTATCTGGAAATATGGTTAAGCTTTCTCTTTAGATCTAGAGTTTTTCTGTTGATCGTGTGGTTTTCAAGGGAGATATGTAATTAATCTGAAAAACTTTTAACTCTTTCCTTCCAGACTTTAAACTACTGATTATTTTTTCTTTTCTTATAGCATTAGCAAAAGTCTCTAGTTCTGTTTAAATCATAATGTTCACTGGTGTCATCCTCTCCTTGTTTCTGATCTTAAAGGAAATGTATCTAAAATTTACCCTTATTCATAACATTTGTTAGGGGATTTGTGCTATGTTACCATTACTACCAAGTTAAGGAAATTCCCTTCTATTCCTAGTTTGTAAGAATTGTTTGTTTTTGGTTTTGGGTGCTAGAGATTGAACCCAGAGCCCTGTGCATTCTAGGCAAGCATTCTACCACTCTCCAGTCCCCAAGACATTTGTCTTATAAATAGGATTTGAACTTTTTCAAATGCCTCTTCTGTGTTAATTGAGATAGCCATATGATTTTTCATTTCTAAATCTATTAATGATTTCAATGACACTGACAGATTTTTTAATGTTGAACTATTCTTGCAGACCTAAGATAAATTCTTCTTGATGATGTCACATAATTTTAATACGCTAATGGATTCTATTATGTAATATTTTATTTATATTTATTACTATATTAACAAGTAAAACAGGTATAGACTTCCGCTTTTTTGTTTTAATTGTTCTTATCTATATTTGAAATAATACTCAAGCCTCATAAGAAAAAAACCTCATTCTTGGGGCTGGGGATGTGGCTCAAGTGGTAGTGCGCTCGCCTGGCATGCGCAGGGTGCTGGGTTCGATCCTCAGCACCACATAAAAATAAAATAAGAGATGTTGTGTCCACTGAAAACTGAAAAATAAATATTTAAAAATTCTCTCTCTCTCTTTAAAGAAAAGAAAAGAAAAAGCCTCATTCTTTCATATATCCTAAAACAATTCATATAAGATAGTAATTAACCAGTCTTTAAAATTTTGGAAGAATTTTCCTATAAAGCCTGGAGTTTGAGTTTTGGGGGAGTAGAGGTTTTTACTACCTTTTCCATTTCTTTCTTTCGTTTTCTTTTTCTTCTTCTTAATTTTTTCAGTGTTGAGGATCAAACCCAGGGCCTCTAACAGGCTGAGCATGTGTTCTACCACTGTGCTATATCCATAGCCCCTCAATTTCTTTAAATTTATTAGTTTGTCATTTTCTATTTCTTCATGCTGGATTTTAGCCCTATATATTTTTTCCTAGAAATTCATCTATTTCATCTATATTTTTAAATTTACTAGTACATAATTATTCACAATATTATTCTATTATCTGTTGGGGGTTCTTATCCTATAAACAGTGGTTTGGGTGCTGATGATGGGATATGAGGATAGAGTTTTTAGTTGTACCTACTATGTGCCAGACTAAGGGGACCAGGGCAGGCATAGATACTGCCCTTATGGGGCTGGAGGTGACTGGGAGAAACAGACACTTATGAAGAATGGAGATAAAGAAACAGAGGGGAAGGACATCAGAAGGAGGTTTAGGGAAGGCTTGTCATTATTATTTTTTTAAATATTTATTTTTAGTTGTAGTTGGACACTATACATTATTTATTTATTTTTTATTTTTATTTTTTTTATGTGGTGCTGAGGCTAGATCCAGGGCCTCGAAAGTGCTAGGCAAGAACTCTACCACTGAGCCCAACCCCAGCCCAAGGCTTGTCATTATTAGGCCTGAGGGAGAAGCCTCTGTGAAGCTCAGCTCCATCACTCAAACTTCTCTTGGTCTATATTCAGGGTAGGTAAGGCAGGGAGTAACATGGCTGACACCCACGTGGATGGTCATATCTACAGTCCTGTCACCTACAGCAGGAAGTAAAAGGCCACACTCGATCTGAGATTCTTTCCTTTTTCAATGATCTGGCAGCTTAAGGTATCTGTGATCTGTGATCTCACTTACTTATCAAGAACACACCAGACACCCAAAAGCTGGATTTAAACCCAAAAAGACTTCACAGGAGGAGAAAAGACTGATAGGCTACGGTTCAAATGCGGTTTGAGCATGTCCCCAAGGTTTCATGAGTTGAAATTTAATCCCCACTGTGAGGTATTAAGAGGGTAGAAACTTAATCTAATTCTGGTATTTAGAGATGAGGCCTCTGGAAAGTGGTTAAGATTAGATTAAGGTCATCAGGGTGGAGCCCTCATGGTTGAATCTTAGCAACTTGATTAGAAGGAGAAAGACCAGAAGAGAGACAGACATGCATGCTCCTTGTCTCTTGCCATGTGATGCCCTGTGTCATCTGGAGACTCTGCTAACAAGAAGGCCATCACCATATGTGTGAACCTCCAAAATGGTGAGCTAAATAAACCTCTTTATAAAGTTACCCGGTCTCAGACATTTCCTTATGGTAATAAAAGAAAATGAATGAAGATGTGCCTTGTCAATTGGTTTCTAGAAATACTCTGTTCCAACTTCTTCTTTAGCTCAGGCACATGACAATGATATGCTCCCTTTTAAAGCAAAACAAACAGAAACTACTACAGAAAAAAGGATCTTAAGGAGACAAATGATTAAATGTAATGTCAATGTAAAATGAAATCTGGCAATAGAAAAACTAAGGAAATCCATATAATATAGAGTTTTTAGTTATAATAATGATGATGTATTCATATTGATTCATTAATTGTAATAAATGTATCATACAAAGATAAGATACAATAATAGAATACAGGGTATATAGACCATTCTATGCTATCTTTGCAATTTTCCTGAAAAATCTATAACTGTTTTAAGAAGTAAAGTTTATAAAAAAAGAATTCTTAAAAAAAGGATGGAACAAAACAAAAGGAAACAACCAGCCTCTGGAGGCTTCCTTCATTTGGGCCTTGTACACATCTGTGACCTCATGTTTGACCCACAGACACCGTAAAGGTAGGGACAAATATGCCTGTTATATATAAGAGGAAAGTGGGGATGAGAGATAATGAATGACTTGCCACAGCCTAGAATGTTGCATAGCTGGGGTTCAGTTGCAGGCCTATTGAAGACTGGTGTTTTGTTTTGTTTGTTTGTTTTGAATAAACCAAAACAAACATTGGAACTTCTTTTAATAATATTTTTTCTCATCCCCACATCCCCACTCTTCCCCTCACTCTTCTCTACACAAACCAGAGTTCTGAAGACTGGTGTTTTAAACCATGCAGTGTGTGTCTAATTTCTGGGCTAATCTCACCTCAAGTACAAAATTCATCCTGTGAGATGCAGTGAGTTAAAATGATTTTTTCCCCTAAACCTTGCTGTGGTTTCTGTTATTCGTTTGTTAGGCTGTTGCTATAGTTACTTCAAGAAACTCTTTCTCTCCCTTTATTTAAATCCACTTTCTTAATTGTTGGCTGTACTCATTGCCCTCGGGGACATGCAGTTTCCTCAAGGAAATAAAATAGCTCTGTCCACAGGCAACTGGATGTAGGTCCAAATGCAAGTCCTGAAGATGGTGCTCAATGGTATCTCATTCAAGGCCAGGCCAGTTAATTCCTGAGGACTTCTGGGTGTTCACTCTAACTTTACCTCGACTCTGTGCCTACTCACTGACTCATACCCATTTTGCAGATGCAGAAACTAAGATTCAGTGGGGATTTTGTGTGGTGTTAATGCACATGGAAGCTCAGAATTTAACCCGGAGCAGGAGGATGCAAAGCCTGTTATTTACTGCTCTGCAGCATTGCTCCCCAGGTTTACCATGCTTTCTCCTGAGACCCCCCCCCCCCATTCTTTCCCCCCCTCTCTGCCTCTCCCAACTCTTGCAGTCAAACCTCGAAGCCAGCGCAGGAGGAAGTAGTCATCAGCCTTGGGCAAGGTGGGTAGCAGGTCCTGGAGGTTCTCCTGGAACTAAGGTGGGGATATGATGGTCAGAGATATTCTTGTGATCCATCTGCAATCCTCATCTGCCACCTGGGGACCCTGCATAGTTAGCACCTGCCCTGAACCACTTGGGTATCTGGGAATGGTCCCCCTTTAGCCCACCATAGGAGGAAGGAAGCATTGGGTCCTTCTTAAACTTGGGGGAGCCTTGCCCCCACAAGACTCTCATTCCACAAGTCTGAGGCAAGGCCATGGCATCCTTGTTTTCACACACACACACACACACACACACACACAAAATTAGTAATGTCACCTCCTCTTGGAGGCCTGGATTTGGAGGCAAGTTACATAAACTCTCTGAGGCTCAGTTTTCTCATCTGTAAATATGGATAATGATAAATTTGTGCCAGTCAAAGGAAAGTGTGCATGTAAAGCGGTTTAGCATAAGGCCTGGCTCAAGGCAGGTGCCTCACTCAACAAATGTGGCCTGCTGGATGCTCTGGACAGTGAAGCATCTGGGGACAAAACTAGAGGTCACTAAGAAGGGACTGCAAAAAAGGCTTTGGGGGGATTGGAGGAAAGGAGGGCAGACAGTCCACTGGAAGGTGCCTTTTTTTCTTTCTTTCTTTTTGTTTCATTTGGTGGTAGCTTTTGCTCCTGGCAAAGTTTAGAAAACCTCTAGGAGTTTGGGCCTGAGATTGAGGCTTTGGTCTGGGATAGAAAAAAGATCTCACTTCTATAGGAACAGAGGGACCTGAAAGCAAGGGCCATGTTTAGAGGTGAATCTGTGAATCTGATTTGGGGTCAGAAACAGATATAAGCAAAGCTACAGGAAGTGTTCTTGATGGTTATCCACCAAACCTACTTTAGCTTTAGGAAGGATATTTAAAATAAGAATGTATTCCTGTGTTGTTTACACAACAAAAAAGGGAATAATCAGTTTACACATTTCTTGGTGTTTACAAGTAACAGGCACCTAAAACAGACATTGTTACACATGAAAACTCCTATAGCCTCTGGGCACCTGAGGAAGCTTTTTGGCAGATATGGAAGGGGATGAACTCCCCCCCCACCCCCGCCACACCCCAGAAAAGCCATAACACTGCACTCCTCATATCCTCCAGCTTACTGAGTTCCCTCATTTGACCCTCAGGATGTGACCTGATACAGGAGGTGCAAAGGTCATATTTGATTTTGAAGATGAAACTGAAGCTGGGGTGGGTGGTGGAGAATCTTCTCCCCAGAAACAGAGTAGGAAAAGTGGCAAGGGCCAGGAGTAATCCATGTCTTCTACCCTTGCCAGGATCACATAATTCTTCAATGAGCATCAAGAAAAAGAGAAAGCTTCCAAGCAGGTGCTGGGGAGGGTCTAAAGTAATGTGGAGTAAACTCTTCTCTACCATGATGCCACACGGAGACAGCAGCATCTAGCAGTGTAACTAGAATTGGTCAACACCTGGTCAGGCTGATGATATGTTGTGGTGTGAACTGATAAATACAATCAATAAGAGTGTAAGTTATAAGTTATAGATTAGTTAAAAATATAGATTATAGATATAAGATTTTGATGAGTGAGATAAGACAATTATAAAGCAAGAACAGGCCTAAGATTCCATTTTGCTGCCTTCTATAAAACACTGCTACAAGAGCTGTTTCTGAGAAACTGAAATCAAAGCTGTTTCCTTATTTTAAAAATTGTCTTTCTGTACTTTGTATCCCACAAATTGTACCCTACTCAGGATGTAGCGGTGGTCATGGTGAGCTCCCACTGGGTTTGAATGCCCTTGTAGGTCTACATAACTTTGAAGCAGATTCTCGCCCACCATACCCCCACCCAAATTCAGGATGCGACTGTCCAGCACCTGCTTGAACGGGGATTGTTGTCAACTGAACTGCAAAGCTAATGCTTTTTTTTGCTTCTGTTTATCGCTTACTTGCTGACTGGAAAATTCCAGTCCTGCCTAGAGCCCATAGGTCCCACTTATTAATGTTTTAATTTCTATGATTGGCTAGCTTACATGATGCTAAGCAAGTCACTGAGTTGTGGTTTTTGTGCTTATATTCTCTTTGGATGGACCAGGAAGCTGCTGTCCTCCCACAGAGCTTGAGTCTCTGCTGTGGGTGACAGTCCCTAGCCAGGTAATTATTTATCTCTTTTGATTTGAAATTCGGACTTAGAGTGCTTTTTGAGGCATCTCCCCATAACATATAGACCTCTGGGACCATGGAAAACTTTTCCCTATTCTTCCTACTTTCCTCCTTTCTCCCGTGTTTTAAAATAATAAGAATTCATTACGTTAAATAATGGGAAAAATAAGAATAAACTTTTTACATTGTGTAAAGCTCTGACCCACAGGCATATCCATTATAATTCATCCCCAAAGGCCAAGTGTCCAAGTCCCTTTGAAGAGCTTCCCTGAAGGGCTTCCCTGAGGGCATCAGCAGTGGGAAGGGCAAGGACTCACCAAGGGACCCCATCTCCTTCATCTCAGGACCCTCCTTAACTGGGGACCTCTCTCCTTAACTCAGGACCCTCCACCTAGGGATCCCTCTCTCACCCATAGGTGTTTTTTTGTTGTTGTTGTTTTGTTTTGTTGTTGTTGTTTTGTTTGTTTTTCATCTAGGGGACCCTGAGTGGATTCCCAATTCCCAAGCCCCTTTTCTTCACCTTGAGTCCTCATTCCTACCTGGAAGTCCTCAAAATAAATCATTCCCCAAGAATTTTAAGCTACCCTTTCCTTCACAAACAAAGTGTGAGCCAGGGTTGTGTCACCTAAGACATATACATTCTCTCCTTTTCCCATGATCGTGTCCCTCCCAAGTGCACCCACCAAGACTATCTCAAAATCATCAAAACCCCCTCCAGTTTCCTTTATTTTTTAATAATTTTTATTTTTTGACCACAGAGAGAAAGCTTAGGCCCCGAGGAGTTAGAGAGCCATGAGAAACCAAATAAACAAATGTCGCAATCTGAGCACAAGATCTGAGAATCCCTTCAGCCCAAGGCTCACGCCACCCCCTCCCCAACAAGCGGGGGAACAAAGGTCAGGGCAGGGTGGTGGGGATCCCGCAGGGCTGGAAGGCAGAATCTGCCTGTAGAGTCTCCCAGGGAGGTCTCCCGCCCAGGGCACTGCTGCACAGGGGCCTCAGAGCTGTGCCCTGGACAGGCAGGCAGGACTGTGGCACTCCCCGAACTTCGAGTTCCCGATCCTACCTTAAGGACTCCAGACCCGTGAGGCGGCGGATGATTGCTGGATCCCTCCCCAAGCCTCCCTGCCCGCCAAGCCCCTCACCTTGGCCAACGCCTCCTGTTGTTGGGGGCTCAGGTCCCCTACTCGGCCGCTCATGGTGTCCGGCGGCACGGAGGGGTGCCGGGCGCAGATGTGCAGATCGCTTCTGCCTGCCCTGCCCGCCGCCTGGCTTCGCCGCTATCACCGCCGCTGCCACCGCCGCCTGGTTTTACCAGTCCGGGTCAGATATTGGTTCCGCCCTGATCCGAGAGCCGCTGGTCCTGCCCTGCCCTGACGGATCCCGTGCCACCACAGGAGTTTCTGCCCCAATCGCCAATCGCACCCTACCCGGGGCGCCGAGGTGACTCACCCCAAGAGAGTCTGGGGCAGCGGGTGGCCCCACCTCCAGGTCTTCTCTAAGTGCTCCTCCCGATTCTCAGGAGGCAATGAAGAAAGGATACGTGGAGGGGTTTCAGATCCCGTTCTGAGCAACCTGGAGGAATTTTTATAAACCTCCGGACATCGATGTACCCGGTCCTTTTGTCTAAGGAACCCCTAGCCCTCTCCCCTGACTTGGAACACAGGCTGGACTCTGTCAGTGCTCACTGGGTAATAAGGGAAACCCTTACCTGACAAATAGCTCTGGCCCTCAAAATGTTGGGAAGGCAAATTGGTGCCCATGAGTTAGCAAAATGCCTGGCATTTTGTGCTCAGGAAGTGTTGGCTCTTAGGAAGAAATTTATGAAACTTTTTAGGAAGTTTCATAATTATTGAGGATGTCACCAGAGCCAGGAGACATAAGGGTAGAGATCCCCATGTGGCCCATTTGGTGAGCCCAAGTGCAATCCCAAGGTTGCTGATGAGAGGGAGCTGAGCTAACTTCCGGGAAGGAGAAGGAGATGGTAAACAGGCCACTGAGAACTTTTCCCTCAGTCCTCCCATTGGGTCACACCAAGTTCTGGATCTGAGATGACCAGTGCCATGATGTGCTGTGAGTATAAAATACAAACCAAATTTCAAGGACTTGGTAAAAGTAAAAAATCTTACTCATTTTTTTTCCTGTTGATTACTTGTTGACATGATAGTTTTTGATATGAGATAAATATAATATTATTAAAATTAATTTTACCTGTTTATTTTTATTATTTTAAATTTAAATATATTTAAATGTAAATTTATATATTTATATATAAAAATATATTTAAATATAAATTTTTATATATAAATATACATATAATTTTATATAGGGTAGTTTTAGGTTCACAGCCCTTTCCTCTGATACATCTGAAAGAACAGCATTCCCAAATAGCCCCAGTCCCCACATAGCCACCAACTCTAGTATCAGAATGGGACATTTATTATAATTTATAAACCTAATTGATATTCTGTTCTCACCCAAAATTCAAGGCTTATATTAGTGTTCACTCTGGGTATTGTTCATTTTACGGATTGTTACAACTATAAGATGACACGTATCCTATTGTTGCATAATCCTATAGTTCCACTGTGCTCTGTGCAGTTTTTTTCTTTTCTTTTTTTTTTTTTTTTTACTTTTTAAAGTCATAGCTGCAAGGGGCTGGGGTTGTGGCTCAAGTGGTAGAGTGCTCACCTCGCACACGTTAAGCACTGGGTTCGATCCTCAGCACCACATAAAAATAAAAGAAAGATATTATGTTTACCTAAAACTAAAAAATAAATATAAAAAATTTGTAGCTTCCAGAATATTTTAAATTACATGTGTGGCTCACATTTGTGACTTGCATTGTATTTCATTTGAATATGTTTGCCCTAGGGGCATTTTAAATCAAAGAAAGAAATTCACAAAAAAATGCTAAAAGATCTTCAATAGATGAATGGATAAAGAAACTGTAATATATATATATATACAATTGAATATTACTCAGCATTAAAAGAGAATAAAATTATGGCATTTGCAGGTAAATGGATGGAGATATCATGCTAAGCAAAGTAAGCCAATCCCAAAAAAACCAAAAAGTCTGAATGTTTTCTCTGATAAGTGGATGCTGATCCATAATGGGGGGAGGGACATGGGATGAATAGAGGAACTTCAGATTGGGCAAAGGGGAGAGAGGGGAGGGCAGCAGGCACAGGAGTAGGAAAGATGATGGAATGAGATGGACATCATTACCCTAGGTACATGTATGATTGCACTAATGGTGTGACTCTACTTTGTGTACAACCAAAGAAATGAAAAATTGTGCTCCATTTGTGTATAATGAATCAAAGGGCATTCTGCTGTAATTTTAAAAAGCTAAGAGAAAGCAAAAAAGACACCACATTTATAGAAGGGCATGGTTTGCATTTAAAAGCAATGAAAGAAAATCATAAAGGGAAAATGAATTTATTTGACTATATAAAAGTATGAAAATCTGTTAAACAAGAAAAAATTACGATATTGTCAGTGTTTGCTGATGTGAATTTGGGGAAATGAAAATGTAGGAAAATTCATATTTTAAAAAGAACTCACAAAAGTAGACAAGAGAAATAGTAAGACGCAGATAAATAAATGGACTATTTGCAGAAAAGAAAATACACAGGGCACATTTATTAAATGGCTAAATGCCCAGTGTCCAGAAAAGAAATGTGCAATCAAGTGTTATAGTTTGGATCTTGAAATGTTTCCCAAGGGCTCATGTGTTAAAAGTCTGGTCCCCAGTTGGTGGTGCTATTGGGAAGTGATTAACCTTCAGGAGGTGAAGGCTAGTTGGAGGAAATAGGTCACTGGAGGCCTTGCCCTTGAAGAGTATATTTTATCCCTGATCTCTTCCTCTTTCTTTGCTTCCCCACCATCAGGTGAGCAGCTTAATTCTTCCACACCTTCTAGACTATGATGTTCTTCCTCATTATAGGCCTCACAGCAATGAAGCCAGCCTTTCGTGGACTGGAACATCTAAAACTATGAGCCAAAGTAAATATTTTCTCCTTTAAGTTGATTCTGTAAGATATTTTGTCACACAGACAGAAAGTTGACTAACACATTGAGCAATGAGATGTTTTTTTCTTTTAACAAATGAGAAAACAAACAATAACAAACCCCAAACAAACAAAACACAATCTTTTTAAAAATGATAATAAAGTTAGGTAGAAGTTGGTGAGATGGAGATAGTTACATACTGCTGGCAGGAGTAGAAACTGATTGCTTCTCTAGAAAACTACAAGACCATACACATCAGGATGCTTAAATATTTTACCACTTTGCCCAATGATAATCCTGACAGAAAAATATTTTAAGTTTAAAGTAATCTGTATATTGTTAACAGGAAAATCTGAAATAATTTTTAAAGAAACTATGGTGCTTAACATGGTTGATGAATCCTTTATAATGGTGTGAGAAAAATACTACAGAACAATTTGAAAAAAATAGGACCACAGAATATTTGCTATATGTTTCTGGAATGTAAAACAACTCATTCAATGCAGAAAGGTCTGGACGAGAAAAGAAATTTGCCCCAACCTTTCTCAGTCCCTAAGGAATAGGTAAAGCCATATTTTAAAATGCCACAGGGAACGAGTCAGCAGCAAAGAGAAGTCTTTATTTAACTAGCACTTACAGGTATTTTCTACTTACCAGGCTCTGCTTGAAGGGCTTGAAAATATTAGTTCAGTGCTGTCCACTAGAAAAATAATGTGAGGGGCTGGTGATGTGGTTTAGTGGTAGACCTCTTGCTTAGCATGCATGAGGCTTTGAATTCAATTCCCCACACTGCGGGGGGGTGGGGGGGGGAATGTAAGTCCTTTGGAAAAATGTGAGCCACCCAGGTGACTTTAAGTTTTCTAGCAGACACATTAAATAGTCATTTATATTTTATATCCAGAATGTTATTATTTCAAAATGTGATCAATATGATTAACAAACAAGATAGATTATCTCCTTAATAGTTAATTAATGGTGACATATCATTTTGTTGTTTGTACCAAGTCTTTAAAATCTGGCATGTGTTCATACAGTACACTTCATTCCAACTAATCACTTTTTTTTTCCCTTTGGTACAGGGGATTGAACCCAGGGTGCTCTACCACTCAGCTACATCCCCAATTCCCAGCCCCTTTAATTTTTCATTTTGAGACAGGGTCTTGCTAAATTTCTGCGGCTGGATTTGAACTTGGAATCCTCGTGTCTCAGCCTCCTGAGCTGCTGGGATTACAGTCTTGTGTCAGCACGCCTGGCAACAACTAGTCACATTTTTGAATGTTCAATAAGCCACATGTGGAGTTATGCATTGAATCATGCCCACCCACCCCCCATTCAAATGGGAAACTCCTAAACCCTAGTAGTTTAGAGTGTGACTTTACTTGGAAACAGGGTCATTGTAGATGTAATTAGTCATGATGAGGTCATAATGGTATAGGGTGGACCCCTACTTCAGGAACTCCTTATAAAAAGGGACAAATTGGACACAGAGAACCACACAGGGAGAATATCATGTGAAGATGAAAAAGGATCAGGATGATGCTTCTTCAATCTGAGGGTTGCCAAAGGTGGCTGGAAAACCTTTAGAAGCTAGGGGAGAGCACATGGAGCACATTCTTCTTCCGAGTCCTTAGAAAAAAACTTATGTTGCTGAAATCTTGATGTTGGACTTCTGGACTCAGGAACTGAAAGAAGATAATATTCTGTTGTTTAAAGTTTGGGATGCTTTGTTTCAGCAGTCTTAGCACACTGGTGAGTGGCTGCCATATTGGATGGAGAAGGGTTGGCTCATTGAACTCCTCCTGACTGTGCTCAAAGAAAGGACTATTATTATCCCCATTTATGGGTCAGGAAATTGAATTCAAAGAGTTTCCCAAGATTTTGTGGCCACTAAGTAGCAAGGCCAGAATTGGAGCCCAGGGAGGTGGTATGGGACCCCATGTTCCAGGTCACCCTTAAGTCCCTGTCTTTCCAATGCAGGGCAGATAGCTTGCGGTCTACCAGTCCTCCTTAAACCTTAAATGTTGCTGGGCTTGGAAGACTAGTTCTAACCTCTGGGCATCAGGGAACCAGATGGTTTCTCTCTTCCATAGTGTACTCTTATCTTCCTTCCTTCTGAAAGGTGGCTCATGCCTTTGGTCCCTCCTGAACTGTGAGCAGAAAAGTTGGACCTCAATGATGCTGCTGTCCTGGTATGATCCACATCCATGCCT